GGACCCATCCTTCCCTCCACACATCGGATATTTAGACATAATAAGTACCGGTTTAAGGTGTGGTAAATAACGTGGCGCCAGAGGCGCCATCTCGCGTCAATCCGAGAAAATACACTTATTCAGGTCTATGGATTAAAGCAAAAAAAATACACTATATACAATATCGTGACAATATTAATGCAGCATGACATGCAAGACCCTCATTCCATGCATGCGAAGCACACTAGCATGTTCATCGCGTACGGGGTGGGTCAAAAGTCTCCTTATATTATATTTCATTCCGTGCACAGTTGATGAGATGGTTAAAAGAATGTGCCATAGGACATGATGGGGCACGCGGAGATCCACAAATCTAAGATTTAATCAATTTTCTGTTTAAGAAATGTTTATTAAGTTTTTATTGTTTTCTAAATGTTAATTGAGTGCAATGGGATTTTTGGCCCACCCCGTACATAACAAAATTTCTCCATACATTTGTCACAAGTTCGGTGGGAACATTTTACGTTTACTCTTATTCTTCGGAGGGTGAATGAGTCGAAATTGGGGGGAAAATTTTGAGAAAATGGAGATCCGTGCGGCAATAAAGTTGATGACGATTGGCGAAGCGGGCGATCCCGACTCGTCACAAAGATCTAAAGCACTAGAGAGTACCAGCCCTGGCACAGATCTCTCGTTCCAATGGAGCCGATACCACCGAAATCATCTTTTTCCCCGCATCCTAACCATCCGACCTTGAAATACCGTACAACAGAAATTTCCAATCCAACCCAATTCCATTTGGAGTCACGAACTGGCGACCGAATGCCAAGTCATGTTTTATTTGCCCTGTCAGCATCTTCATTTTTGAAAATTTGCTTTCTGTCTTCTTTGATAGCGATGGCAGACCCCATGCAGGAAACCGAAGCCATGGAGTTAGACGACGAGCCCGAGGCAGAGGTGCGAGATGGCATGCCCGAGTTCCTGGAAAAAATGCTTCACCTCACCGCAGGGCATCGGAAGGAAACGATCGACGGAGCCAAAGAATTCCTGAAAAAGGAATTCCCCGATTGGGAGAGCGGCTGTCGCGTTCTCTTCCCCGTCGTGATGCGGGAAAAGGAAAAAGACGGCGACGAAGCGGAACTGCTCGTAATGAAGAAAATCCTGGAATTTTCTCTCGCCGAACCGCAGCCCATGTTCGTGGTGATGAACACGAAAACCCTCGGCAACAACATGGAGTCTGACATCGTCGTCATCCACAGATATGCAGGGCTGAAGATCCTGGAGATCAAAAAGCCTCAGGGATATCGTTACATGAACAAACGCATCAACGAGGCATTCAAGCAAGTCGAGAAGGGGAAGGAGAAGATAATACAAATATATGAAAACGCCTTTGGTGAATTTCCAGTGGGAATATTCAGCAGCTCTCCTGGGTTCGCCTGTGTTCCCTGCCACAAGGTAATCGGCTCAGACAGGAGAAAGCCAGGTGTTCTCAGCGCCGATGAGTGCGAGAGTGCTGGTTCCTTTAAATCATGGTGGGAAAACTGTATTTTCGGGAAGAAAGAGCCCTTACAAAAACCTCTTTCTCAAGATATCTACCTCAATCTCTTGTCCATGTATGTTTTCCGCAATCCTTCGTCGTTCCTGCTTCTTCTTTTCGTACATGAAATGCTCACGAGATCGAGTCGAATATCCGATCTCTCCATTTTTCAGGTTCATCGGAGCCTGGTGTTTCCAAGAAAGCATAAACAACCGCAACGTGGGCTGGCTGATCGAGGAGACCGCGAAGCTCCTTCGACACCCGGCCGAGGAGGGTTCCAACCCCGCGATCCCCATCTTCGTCCCTCCCCACCTCAGGTCGGCCATGGACTGGGTGCGGACGGCGGACGCGTCGCGGGACAAGCGGAGGGTGATCGCGGGGGTCGCGGGCACGGGGAAGACGTGGATTCTGACCGAGTCCGCCGCGAGGATCCTGGCTGAGGATTTTCGGAGCAGAGTGCTGGTGTTGTGCTTCAATCGGCCGCTTGCGATTTATCTTCGGAACGAGATTCACCGTTCGATGAAGAAGAAACTGGGGGGGAGATGGAAGCCCGTCGGTGGGTGTCGAGGCCCGAGTGTCACGGTTGATACCTTTTTTGCCTTCATGGGCTGGAAAGTCCCCGATGCTCCAGACCCTGACGAAGATTTCAACAGGAAAGAGGCTCTAAAGAATGTGTTAAAAATGCGGGGGGAAGACTTGAAAGCAATATATGGCTCATACAGTCACGTCTTCATCGATGAGTCCATCAACTTGTGCTTTTACAATTCCGTGGATGAAGGCAAGTCGACGTCATGGCTGGGTTTACTGGAGAACATCTGGGACGAGACCGGATGCTTTTTCCTATCTTTCGATTTGGAGCAATGCGTATATTCAAAGATCGAGGTGACAGACAGAGAAAGGGAATATCTTGGAGTTTCGCAGGATCTGAAGCAGGTCATCCGCAGTCCAAGCCTCGTGTGCGACAGTTTCCTCGCCCATGCCAGCAAGGAAACTCGGGAGAAGAAGATCCCAACACGAGAATGCCCCCAGGTCCTGGGGATGCCTGTGGTTTATTGCGAACCGTATCTCCGGCACGTGAGCTGGTCGGATTGCGACGTACAGGGTATCGAAAATGTCGTCCGAATCATCGAGGAGTACGAATTGAGAGATGTGAAGGAATTTGTGATACTCACCGAGACGAGGCAGCTCGCCTCCTTCGTAGGAGAAGGGTTGAAAAGGGCTCTGAGTAAACTAAAGCACAGACATTCCCTCTGCGACGCAGCGACCCTGGCTCGCAGCCACGGCAGCGCGATGGATGGCGAGAGGCGAATCGTCGTCGATACCGTTCGCCGCTATCAGGGCCTGCAAGGAAGCGTCGTCATCCTCTTTGGCCTTCCCTCGGGTCAGGATCCCCTGATGTATCTAGGCAAGAGCCGATGCTCTGGCTTCTTGTTCGTCGTGGGAACCGAAGGGGCCTGTGAAGAGATGCGTCAGAAGGAAAAAGTTTACAAGAATGAAGTCACTCCTAGCATCTCTCGGAAAAGAAAGGAAGAACCGGAGGGTGCACCGTCTCTCAAATGGATCAAGATCTGACACCTTCCCTCCTATTTGGATTTTTCCTTTAATAAAGCATCGAACTGTTGCTGCTCTTCCTTGTATATTATTTACGATTACACCAGCACCGGTGGTACTGGCTGAAGCAGGAATAATTCACCAACAATCAATCCACAGACATGGAATGCCAAGAAACAGGGAGCTCACAACCGAGTACGACAGGATAATTCGCCTCACAAAGACAATTCTTAGCCTTGTTGCCTTTTTCCAGTTTCAGCTTTAGGGCTCTGGATCAGTCATCGGCAGAACTGCAGGCCATCGATTGAACAGCTCTACGTATTGAGATATTTGGTATCATAGAAGCCACTCTGAGATAGAGAAATATATACACAACTACATTCACTTTTACCAATGGGTTTGGGTTTTGAGCAGTCCTGCAATTGCAGAGCATGTCTCGAGTTTGATCACTTTCCTTTGGTGATAAAAAAAAACACTCTGATTATGTGCCAGTCATTTTCTCATCATTATCCGAAAGCAATGAAAGTTACAAACTAGTCAGGCTTTTGCATCACAACTAAATGGCTGCAATGCAGTTTTCTGCAGAAGGAGAGTAAAAAGTTTTCAGCCATATACAGTGTATATTGAGACAAAACTGAGCCATGTGGAAACATTTGTGCCCAGATAGACGAAAGAAAAATGCCTAGAAAAAAAGTGAAGAACCCTAATTGGCACTGGTGCCAATGGTGGTTGGAAATATCTGTTCTATTTGGCACAGCATCTGTTGTAGACATCTTGGATTGTCATCTCCAATCGCTATCGTTGCCAAAAATAGGTGTCCTCCAACTTGTGTTAAGTGATTTAATAAGTTGATAATTCATTTAATTCTGTTAAAGATGGAATTTCCTTCTTTTAAGTCTTCAATCTGACTTACAATCCTGCAAATTCAGCCTTGTAGTCCCCAGAGTCATCAACTCTAGTTCTTCATGAACTGCTGCATATGACTCGAGACTTCACACCCCATATCAGGGAATCTTCATGGAGTCTCGCTGCAAGATCAGGAATTTACATCACAAATTCCACAAGCGAACAGTGGATGTCACGAGTTTGACACTGGCCCAGAAAGAAAGAAAAACCTCATTAAAAACTCTCCAAACAGAAAAGTGTATTCCATCATCGCAAAAATACACAGGAATGCAGAGGACTGAGCCAATCTCCATGTGGAATGCAATCGAGTCCATCACGAGGAGCGATCGACTTCAAGCACGAAAGTCACGAGGATGCCCTCGTGTCATTCGAGGCACCGAGAATAACAGATGTGATTCGTGCGCAACAAATTCATCACATTCTATGGCTGGCATTGACTCCATCTTTTAGAAATATGGAAACATGCCATTAATTTGACAATTTTTATCACAACCCCATAGGAATAATGCAATACTTTGCCTGTGAATCCCCACAGACACTAAACAAATTTCCCCCAAAGATTATCTCCCACCGTCTGCGAGCGACCCGACGAGAAATCGCGACATCACCGGCACGTCTGGCAAAAAGTTTGCCTCCTTTAGTCCCAAATGTGAACTAACAAGGATGTGAAAGGAAAGGGAAGAAAAGCCATAAATTGCAAAGATTGTCAAAATATCTGAGTGGAGGGGGGGTCCGAGAATCTTAGTTCAAATTGACGGAAACCAGACACTGTCACGTGTTACTTTGTGGTTCTCCAGGTTGGAAAATGGATATGCATATTGACATTGAGGACGAAAGAATTGAGGATTCATCGAATCCTGATGTTTTCACTCCTCGTTCCAAGTTCACACAATCTAGCACAATCATGAACAGAAACCGAAAAACCTGCTTAATATCTGATGCTGTCTTAATCAAATCTCCAGTATAAACCAGACTACACTTATAATACTAGAGGCAATAACATGTACACAACCCTGAGTTATCACAATGCATCCGATGCTTCGCCTTCACGAAGCCGGAAGGAGACAGGACACGGAAGCCGGATCGCAGTCCTCGTACTCCCGCAGCTGCGGGTGGTCCAGGTCTCCCCGGTCCTCCGAGTGCTCCACCCCCGCGTAGCGATGAGTGGGCGGCCCGAAGTTCTTGACGCACACGCACCGCGTCTCCCCTCCCGGGTTGTACAACCTCCGTGGGACCCCTGCCCAGTCTCGAGAGATGCCTCCACTGAAAAACAAAGGTCTCAGATTGTGTAACAAGAAAAATGCAGTTGAAAATGTTTCAAACATTTTAAATTGTGAGAAAATGATGCAATGAATGCGTAACGAAGGTGCCAAGGATACATTTGACCCATCATGAACCTCAGGCCATCAATATTAATTCTTCAGGCTAATTTCTTGCTTCTACAAAAACGTAATTTAATTTTCAGGAACGAGGATGAAACCATCCCTCGTGTACATGAGCTAAATGTCCCCATAGAAATGCTACTAAGGAAAATCAAATGGACTCTTCTATTGCAAGTCCCTGGTATGCAATACAGACTTTTCCAAAATAAAAGTCTACAATGCAGGGGGAACCCCTTTGAAGCTAGAGGGATTGCTCATTTTCATATTGCATGCATAAAGCATGCAAAACCTGCTCATGGGGTTAACTCATGCTTGATCAAATTTTTTCCGTGTGCGTCTCCAAACACATCTCCCTTGGGAAATCACTTGGAAATTCAGCCAATTGAGTGAGGCGGCTAAGTGCAAAGAGGAAATAAGCACATCCAGATTGTAACCAAAACATCATACATTTATGAATTAGGTTCTGGTTAAGTGCTAATATTTTACTAGTACATTGGAGTCGATAAAACCAGACTTCACCAGCGTTCACAGAGATGCATATATGGCACCCTTTAGTTCCCTCAAGCAGCATCCTATAATAAATTTTGGGCGATTTTATTCAGAATTCATGTTTTGCTATTGAAAGAATTTGCTTTTATTTTGAAGCTGATGACTCTTGTTCACTACATATCTCAGTACTACTGGTACTAACTTGTGAACTTGATTGCTTATTGGGGAGGGGGGGTTTCAAGGGATCTAAGAGGTAGAAAATAAACTCATTAACCCTCTTAGTGCCAGCTTTCTGGCGAAGGATGTGTGAAAATTGCACATTAGTTTTTGCTGAATTAGTTTTGCATTTCACAAAATATGCCCAACACTGCCCTCTGCCAGCCCTGTAAGGAACCAGCAGTGAGAGAACTACATGACCAATAATATTGACAAGTGGCAATTTTTGCACAACCAGGGCAGGGTCAAAATGTCAGCCCATGACCCTAAGAGAGTAAAGTTCAAGGCAATAAGCGAGTAGTTCGCTGCATCGTCTCCTGAAGGCTTATGACAGGTGACAAGAAAAGCATGGAACTCAGTATGCATACATAATGAGCAATGCCTGTTCCATGACCTCATAGTGGTTACTGTTGTATGAAGAGTGCATCTCTGTGATTTCTCTCAGCTGAAAATAGAGCCAAAATGCTGAAATTTCTCCAGCATTCACTAAAATGAAAGAGCTGCACATGATAAATTAGCACTTTCCAAAAAGTCCAACAGGTTCTTCATTTAATTAAAACGTCAAGCTGCAAGAAATTCTTGAACTGCTCAAAGCAACCAAAAAGTGAATATAAGGTGCCTAATAGGATTTCAGTCATAGCGAAGGAGACTGCTGCACAATTAGTACATCCCAGACAGTCAGCTCTTCTCATGAAGATAAGAGTTCTGTGGGATAGGAGCACTTGAGTTGGGTTGGGAAATGTATCAAATTGAAAAATATAAGTGGTGCCTCCATTTGACAAAATTCAAGGCCATGTCCCAAGATGATAGACGAAGCATGGCCACACATTCCGGCAACCTAGGAGCCTCAAATGCAGAACGCTCCTTTTTGGAAGCAGACGGCAGGCAGCAGACCGTACCTCTTGTCGGAGCACCAGACGCGGGGCCGTTGCCCCTGCTTCCACTCGGAGTTACAGGGGGGCATCACCTTCTTCTCCTCGTCCTCGGCCTCCTTGGCCGAGAACGCCTCCCCGATCCAGCGCTCGACCTGCTTTGCGTACTTGGTCTTCTTCCCCTTCTCGTCGTAGAATCTCCCCACGACCTTCCCTGAACGTACCAAAAGAGTTTAAGATGCTTAAGCTCTACATGTCTATGAGGGGTTTGAATTTGATCAATGCATTTAATCAGAGTGTTAAGAAGGGAAGGCACACCTATGTATTCGTACTCGCGGTCGTAAAAGTCGGACCACTCGTCGAGGCCCCGGTAGTCTTGGACCGACAGCCCGGACACCTCGTCCGTGAGACCCGCATCCGTGAAGTCCCCGGTCACGAATGCTCGAGATCCATCACGCCCTAAAAACAGTCAGAGTCCATATCATTAGGCCTTGAACAAGTGACTTCCATGTTTGAGCAGGATTCCTCCTGTATTTTCAAGGACTACTACAGGGGGAAATTATGTATGAAGAATCTGTGCAGAAAGACACAGCCAGCACACCTTCTCCACAGAAATAATTCAGTTGAAACATTTACTCAAGTGCTACCTTTTTGCTGATCCAGCACTTAAATGAGCAACAAATATTCATTCAACTATGATGATCAACTCAAAACTCACAGTATCTGGCTAAAACTCATGTTTACACGAAGCTGAGAAATTGAAGCTTTTCACAATGCATCATATGGCATGATACTGAGTAATCTGAGTTTCCTCAACAATGTTATGTCACAATCATTATTATAAGGTTCAGAACATAGAAATTAGTCTTCAAATGTTCCCCAAGCTTAGGCCCCTGCCATTAAAAAATGGTTAGTAAATATGTTATGTTCTGACATGCAGCAATTCCCTTGAAGACAGACAAGAGATAGAGCACCGGTGAAGAAGGCATAAGACCCGCCGGGACCATAGTGCTTGCGACCGGCAGAGACGTCGTAGATGCGTCCGAGGAGAGCCAGGTAGATGGGCCTCTCGTCCCGTCCGTCGTGCAGGGCGAGCTCCTCGGGGGTGAGGACGATGTCTTGCAGGAGGGCATCCCCATCCTCGTCCGACACCCCCATTCCCTGCTCCTCCAGCATTTCCTTCCACATCCCTCCACCCCCCATCCAATACCTGTCCAACACCAGCCACTAAATTTGATGCTCACCGCCAGCCAAGTGCATGACAATTAATCTAGGCTTGGTCACCACACTAAACCTGTCCACTACAACAGGGCTGGAATGAGGCATTTCAAGAAGAAAGTGTATGAAAAAGCTTCAGATGTAGCCAAAATCAGCTTAAGAGTTAGAACTAGAATCATTACAATTCCATGCATTCATTTTTTAAATTTCCAACCATGTCCAATGGAAAAAAGTTATATATTTCAGTTACAATAAACCAACCAAAAACCTGCATTGTTCTCACACTGCTTGAGAAGGCCAAAGGCACCTCCCTCCCCATGCCCAGATCAGTCTTTTCTCTTTATTATTATTTTTACCCTTTCACCCACTCAATATAATTTGCAATTCTCTTATGTGCTTTCATGCTGTCTCTTCTGTCCAACAACCTACTGGGTGTTGCACATAAATAGCCCCGCCTCTGCAGCCCAAACTATGGGAGCTAGAAAATTTTAAAAGATATATTTGGAATCCTTGTTAAATTTCGTTTCTATTCAATCCCAGTTTGTAGTTTCTGATGTCGTACAATGTTAAAAAACTTACGTTTATTGATCACATTCATGTAATTATGTTTTGAGAAGCTTGTGATGTCAGAGCTGAATTCCTTACCCATTCATGGGTTTTGAAAAGGATTAAGTGTTCAGCTTCTGTCTGATGAAGCCCTATTTTTCAAAGCTTGGATTCACAAAGCAATTGCTGAAAGGTGCAGGGATTGCTATTTTTTTTTGGAAATGCGGAATGGCCAGGAAACTCTCCTGATCTGAACGTGGCCCAAACCATTGGGGTTATCCTGAAAGACTGAGCTGAGGCTTATGCACATGGAGGGCAAGCAGCATAGACTCTGCCAGGAAGCCTTGCAAAGTGACATCAAGGACGTGGACAAAGTTGAAGGACGTGGAAGATAACACTGAACTCTTTTAAGTGCCTCTTTTCACCTTACCCTGTTCATATTAAAGCTCTCAAAGATAGAGCCAGGATGCATAAAAAAGTAAGATAAGTACATGTTTAGATTAAAAAATGAATGCTCTTTCTCATGATATATGAGTTTTTTCCTAGCTCTTACAGTTTAGGCTGTGGAGGGGGGGCTATCTATGTGCAACACCCAGTAGTTTACTTATTGTAGCCTGGGTTAAACAATGGATTGGCAGCCTGAGTCTCATTCCTGATCATCCAGTCCAAGTCTCATGAAGGTGTGATTTAATTGAATCAGGTATTTTTCCATGTTGGTTTTGGGACTCATACAAGTTTAAATAATCACATAGACTCTGTTAAAAGTCCTGAGACTAATTCATTTATTCTCCATAGACCTCAAGAACTGCAGGCTGTTCAATGAATCTCAATAAGTTCTCAACTTACAATGTTGCTTCCTCATTCATTCTCTGATGGAGAAGACTGTACACTTTTGAGGAATCACCAACAGTGGAGCATTGAAAGCAAAAAAAAAAAAAAATCAAGAAGCTTCTGAAAATCTTGGGAGACATGCATGGACTTCTCTCCTTCAATATTATTTCATGTTGTCAGCATTGTCCATGTTATCAGATTATCACCACTGTTCAACTTCATCAACTAAAACCAAGCCTTTGAATAACCCAAACCCATTCTTATCTCTCGCAAACACCTCAGGCCCATCAGGAGACCATAATAAAGCAACATCTTGAATCTGAAAAATCCGAGCCTCTCCATATCTCAGAAACTGTGCTCTTTTACCATGCAGAAGCTCTGCTAGTGCATTCCATAAAAGCAAAAAGTGGTTGACTTAAGTGGCCCAAAGTGGGACAAGAGGGTATATCATGTATGACAGACCCCACATAGTACAAAGTACACAGTAAATAACTCTGATGGCATTTGCTGCTTTATCTAATCTTCCTTTCCTCATTGCTCTTTACATTGGAGTGTCGCGATATCGTGGGAATCGTCCGATCCGTCTGTTTGCCGAGGTCGAGTCTGACCCGATCCTCGTTTTCTCGAGGGAATTTTCAAGTACTGTGAATAAAGGTGCATGTGACTTGCAGTTTTGAAAAATAAAAATAAAAACCAACACATCTACTGCACTGCTTCTTATGGACAGTTAAACCTCTTTGTGATAACTGGAAAGAGATGATTGCCACATTTAAAAAAGAGTTTGAATCAAGGCCTTGTACTAGAGGCTCATTTCCAACAGCAGCATGAGTATCAAAGAATATGTACATGAAAATTTATATGCAATACATTTGCATCACAGGATTGAATTCAAGTAGGAAAAATATAAATTCTCTTGCAACATGTTGGCATGGGGAAAGTGGAATCAGGAAAACCCCAAAAATGCAAGACCTAGCTTCACAGCAGCTCATCAGCAAATGATCAAAGGAAAACAAACTACTTGTTCGCCATGTTTGGGAAGTGACACCATCTCAAGCCAACTCCTGTTGTGTCCTTACTCCTTAAAAAGAAAAAGTAAGACTAGTTCTTGTTCAATTCCAAAGCCTCCAAGTTCATGATGAGCCTCATCATTATGTGCCACTTGGGAGTGAAGTTAAGAAGGAAAACATCTTCAAATATGGCATGCTATGAACAAATAAATGTCTTGTACCCAGAATTAATCTAAAAAATGAATAAACACAAGGAATCATCAGTAAGGACAATGAAAGATTGGATGTGAGTTTGAGATCAGCTGGTCCATTTCTGTCACAACAGGGGGCTGGTGACTAATTGTTTTCCTTTTACTTGACATAAAAATGGGCAACTATCCAAGCACTTGCCAGCCCACAATTTTTGCTAAAAATAACTTTTATTGCCCTCTTAGGACACTCGCAGACGATTCCAAGCAGACCCGCCCGTTCTCACCTGAGCGACAGGACCCGGTGAGAGGACCGGGCGAGTTCCTTCATGCCCGGGATCTGATAGAGCACGGCCAGGTAGGCCGGGTCTTGCTCGTGGAGGTAGACGGCGATCCCGACCAGGACGGGGATCGCAATCACGATCACCTTCCCGATGGTCCCGCATTTCCCCATCCTCTTTGGCTGGCCCCACCTGTCACATTCGCGCCACGCCTGGGTGGAACCCACATTCGTGTCATGCACTTTTCATGCTTACATTCCAATGGCAGCTAAGAGGGAATTGAGTAATAAATCATAGCACAAGTTGTGGCATCTCTTCCTTCGACAACCAAGGTCATCAAGATAACAAGAGATTTATATGAGTGAAACTCAAGCATGTTCACATGTGTGGAATGAATTTCCCACTGAAACCTCATTGAAATGCTAGCCTTGATCGAATTCATGCAAAGGAACGTTAATCAGACCGACACGACACTTTCCTAAATGAAATTACTCCCATAGGGAAACATATGCCAGGAGGATAAGAACTGTGAAGTCAACCCAGAATCACTTTACACCATGATATTATTTTGTTTCAATTATTGACAATCTGACTCAAGTGGAAATATGCACTTCTTGGAAAATTTCTGGAAACCCAAGAAAATTTGTCATTTTCACAAGACAGATGACTATTGAAGAACTTTAAACAATCCACTTTAAAAACAAGCCTCTCATCTTCCACTTGCCAACATAAACTCCTAAATTCTTCTTTTTCAGATCATAAAAAGATTATTTTTAACCTGGTAGCTAAAAAAAAAGGTATACAGTCGTCCCTCGCCACTTCGCGCTTCGACTTTCGCGGCTTCACTCTATCGCGGTTTTTTCAAATACCTGTATATTGGGTAATACGAGTGTAATGGTGAATAAAGAGTGTTATTTCATGTCTAGAGGGCTCTAATAGATCTTTAGTCACCATTACACTCGTATTACCCAATATACAGGTATTTGAAAAAACCGCGATAGAGTGAAGCCGCGAAAGTCGAAGCGCGAAGTGGCGAGGGACGACTGTATTCATATTCCTCCTCCACATAGGCTTCATAAATTAAGCCTATGAACAAATGGTACATTTAAGACTTGACTCAACATTAGGCAGTAACTGAAGATGAGTACAGCACATCATTTATGAATTCTGACAAACCTGTCTCATGGAAACCACTTATTGCTTTGTACTATAGATATACTAACACTAAGACTTTAACCCTAAAAAAAAAATAGAAGAAAAATGCCATTAGGAAAGCATGTGTTCTTCCCATGTTGTCATGTCACTGTTAGTGACAGCCTGGGTTGTGCTTTTGTCCTGCACATGATTGTGCTTTTAGTAGTTGGTTCTTATTTTACTTGACTTGACATTCTATAAGGACTCCACAAAATCTCTCTCAACTCAGTCAATTTCAAGAGGTGAATATCTCTTTCTTGATGAATGAGTACAATTCATAATAGAAAGCCAGGCTTTATTCACTTGCTGATTTGAATTTCCATCACCCCATCGATAAGAAATACTCCTACGTCTGGAAAAATTACAGGCTAGGATGATGAACAAATTGCCTGGAATCTGATACAGACAGGCAATCCCAGGAGGAAAAAAAGGCATGGTGAAAATACAGCCACACTCAAATAAATATTTAAGATTTTTTTCTCACTGCAAGTGCAGGTTCATCCGGCGAAAAGAAATAAAGGACATGTGACACACTAGATCACACATTGACATTAAACCTAAGAATCAGTTGCATCCATGTTGTCGTCTTCGCTGTAGAGACCGTCTTCCTTGCTCTCGGGGTATCGATGGGCCTTCTCTCCTCTACGCTGGTAAAACATTACATAAGCAGCACGGGACACGACCTTCCCTTCGACGGCCTGCTGGACAGTGCTGTCGTCGAAGTGGTACCAGCAACCATCGTCCTTGTTGCGGGCATAGGCAGTGTAGTGACCGCCACCGAGGTGTCCGTAATGATCACACACACCAATGAGGTCGTAAATGGCCTGGGGATGCTCCGGGTCAATGACATAGTGAGACATATCCAGACCGTTGATCGGGAACTCGACCAAGGTGTCGAGCTTGTCACGGTAGTAGCGGTTGTAAGAGAACCGCTTCAGGTGGATCACCAGGATCTGGGGGAGGGACCAGAGGTCAAACTTTTTGGTAGCCATTTGGTGCTTCTTGCACTTGGAGCAGTACCAGGCATTGTCGGCATTGAGCTTCTCCGTCGTCGTGAACAGCTCCAGGCACTCACTCAGCTGGATGGTCTTGCGGCTGGTAAATCGCTGGGACATCGATTCATGCGTCTCAAACTCCTCCATCTTTTTCAGATCAAAGAAGGCCTTCCGGGCAGCAGAATGCCAGGTCATGGCAACGGTCGGTCGCATCGGCAGCTTCACTGCCTGTGTTGTGTTCTCAATCACGCCCTGGTTGGTTATACTATAATGATGAGTAAAGTGAAACCTGTACATTTCAGGTGGTTCATCTTTTGCTTTATCTTCATTTTCATCCATGCAAGTTCCCTCATCTTCTTCATCTGTGTCCATTTTCTTCACATCCCCATTCATGGAAACTCCTGTTATGTTACTTTCCCACCAAGTCTCATCATTCTCAGGCTGTCGTACGAACCGGGACAACTTGGCCAAGATGGCATTCCGAATTTCCTTGCCAGTGCAGGATTGTTTGTTCACAGTGATGAAGAATGGGATTCCAAAGCCTGTTGTTACATCCTCTCTGTGATTCTGGGTATTCTTCACAATTTCCCTCAAGTACACAGGGATGCAAGCCACGTCAGAGTTATCCAGCTCTGGGACGTGGTAAACGCCGATGTCGTCCCGATCCGACACGGTCATGGTTTCGTCCTGGGTGTAGACACGCTGAAACCGGTTCTGATGATTATCTGTAACAACGAGCTCCTTCGCCGGGACATTGAGTAAGCGACCGACAGCCTCGCAGATGTCTCCGAAGCAGCCATGCTTTGGCACAACCACTTTGCAACGGAGGGGGTCTTTCTCTGGATTACTGGAGTAGTAGGTCACCTCCAGCAGCTTCTCCTTCTTCCCTGGCAGAGGGAGAGACAAGTTGCAGTAGGGGTCAAAGGTGACAGAGATCCGATTGCAGTCCGGGCAGATGACAGTGCTCTTGAGGAGACCGTGAAACAAGTCGACGATGATGGAGTCGTTGCGCTTCTTGTAATTAGTCCAAGATTCCTTTGCGACCTCAGGGTCAGGTTTCCCATCGGTATCTTTCGCCTCAATGTAGGGCTTCTTGTGTATGCGATTCAAGTCTTCGTGGAGGCCGTCGAGGAGGAAAGTGAGGAGTTCTTGAGCATCCTGTTGCTGATACCCTGAGAACTGAGGTGCAAAGCGTCCCACTTGGGTCTTGAACTGCCTTGGCATGGCATAAGAATGCAGACCGGACCACATCTGCTTGACGAGCTCCCCAAAAGCCTTGGCAATCTCGCCCCCCATCCCAAGTGGGTTGTCGACATTGAGTTCGCTCAAGTGTTGGTCATCACAGAAGTAGGACATGATGGCAGGAGTATTGCTCATGAGTTGCAAGACACTGTTCATGAAGCAGGTGTTACCAAGGTTACTGAGGCCACAGAGGCCCGGTTGGACTGACCCATAGCTGGCCTCCTTCTGAGAACGATAGTTGTAGCGCTGGGTCTGCACGATGCCGTTCGATGCCGACGGATACGTTGTGCTGGCGGAATTTTCATCCTTGGCTTTCGCTGGAGTCGGTCGAGGCCAGGTGTCATCCTCGTTCTTCACTTCCAAGACCAACACCTGTGTGCTATGTGGCGTGGAAATGCCCAGATCCTCCAAGGTATCATCTTTCTGACTGAGAGGCAAGTAGGCATTTGTGCTATCACGCAACCAAACTCTGGTTTCCTTGTTGGCCGTGACGTCAAAGATCTTCCGCATCTCGGTCTCGAGCTGGGCGACAGTCGTGAGCCGGCTGAACTTCCGCGTCTCCTGCTTTTCGAGGTCGCTATATTCACATAGTTTCAATTCCGAGGGATATATCTCCACCTTACAGGTCTTCACGTACATACCCTGCTCCACGACCTGACGCGGGATCGGCTCCTGATTCGGTGCCAGACCATACCAATCGACCAGCTTATCCCACGCCGCCTTGTGCACGATCACGAAATCCAGGTCCTCGATCAGATGCTCGCGGAGTTCCCTCTCCTCTTGGACCAAAAGGCTCGAGTTATCAATGGGACCAGGGTTCTCGGCAGACGGCTCCGCGTTCGCCTCGGTGCTCCATGTGCTCAGTCCCGTGAAGGCCTTGAAATTCTTGAACCACTTGTTGTCGAGAAGATACCAAGTATCCCCTTTGACAAGGCTCTTCGAGAGGATCGGCTTAATTTCTTCCCGCTGCTCCTCCGCACTCGGAGCGTTCGGTGTGGACGCCATCTTTAAACACTGCATGGCTCCACACCTTCCGATACGGACGGTGGGGAAAGGACGACAGGATGCGGCATCATGCCACAATTAATGCTCGTCATCTAAAAATTAATATGAACGTTTCACTGATAATTCTCAATTTGTTAAGATGATGTATAACTTAAATAAATATTCTCGGAAATATGTGGTGAAACTAAGCAACCGTTTTATAAATTTAATTGATGATTCTGGCAACCCTACCAATTACATGGCGCTCTCAGGCCTCACATGTGCTCTCTACGCAGATTTGCCGGATATCCTGCTCGGCTAATGACTAATGTAACGGAGACATTGATAGAGTTGGCAGCTGCCGGAAGCTGCAGCTGATTCCGTAGACAACGCGCATTCAGCAGCGAAAATGGCTTCTTCGCGTCTGCTGCGAGTGGGAACGATTTTCTCGAGGTGGGCCCCCCCTTTCAATTGCATTTTTGGGCCCTCGCGCTTGGCTCAATGTAGGCCATGATTCAAAGACCGTGTAAGGCCTTGGGCGATGGGCCTAGATGAGTGCAGCACGAATTTTGTCGTCAGCCTCGATCCAATTTTAATGATCTCATCCCTAATTTTTGCACCTTAGCCAGCCTCAGGAATGAGTCATGAAACTTTCATGCTTGTCAAGAATATTTTTAATTATCAAGATATTGGAATTCACAGTTATAAAAAATCACGTACTGCTTTGTCAAGGTCAACTTATACCATTTTGCCAGTAATTTTAATCAAGTGACTCGCTTTTCCCAGCTTCCTCTAATTTACTTATGCTTGAAACGCATACAATTCTTCCCTCAGGGTGACAGGGCTGATCCGCTCGGGAGCCATGAGAGAGGAGGACCGACCGCTCTGGTACGACATATACGCCGCTCATCCGCCGAGATCCGAGCCCCGGGAAGATCGTCAGTACGAAAACAAACCCGTCGTGAACATTCTCTACAAGGAGGATATCGTTCGAGCGTGAGTGAACCCGTTCCTCCACTAGTTGTAGTATTTCGTGTTGTTTCCTTTGGCCACCTTGGAGTGAAGAGCAAAACTGAATTGAACCTGTTACTTACAGATGTTTAGAGAAATAAATATCAGTATTGAATTTTTGGAACCAATTTGCTAATTCTGAGAGATACCAGGAATGCTTCCTGATTCTTGATGCTTAGCTATAGAAAATTTAGTATCAAATGTCCTTGGTGTGTTCTTTGGGATGGGAAGAAATTCTATTTCATATAATTTCTTTAAATTTAGTTTGGGAGAAGAAACAAGGGTACATTATTCATCATTATTGGTTCTTTGTGTTAACTAAATCAGACTGTTATTGCCTTCCCTAGTCTGGAGTGAATGAAACTTGCCCAATTCCTCTGCTGTATCTGTTGCCCTCTCAGAATTTAAAGGGTCTCCTCATTATTCCTGATTATTTTCTGTTTTCCTTTAGGATGTTTTACAAAGACTTCGGTTGCCCCGATACTCTGAGGTTGGAGGATCGCTCCCCTTCATTGTGTCAAAGACTTGTGCTCAAATACCAAGAGCTGGAAGCAGCGGACCCTTCTACCGACCCGGAAGAACTGTACCGCCGTGCAGCTCAAGCCCTGAACTTGCAATCGGACTCAGATTTTACCAAGGGACAGGTGCAGCATGGAAGTGTGTCTCAGCAAGTGGTCTCCAACAGAACCGAAGAGCATGAAAGTACCCCTCCACTAGTGACTTCCAGTGAAAAAGCAGATGCATGAGAGTTTGAACATGAACTGTATTATGTGAAATAGTGAACAGATGAATGAATAGAAATACTTGAAAGTACAATGAGAGGAAATTGAATGAGTCGCAAATCTACTTTTGTCTAATGGATCAAACGAAGTCAATTCTTCACCGCTTGTGAAGGCTAAAGAATGCAGACATGGGATCATCCAGAGCCAAGGACCTGCAAATGCACAATTAACCATTTCATTACCAAATTGCTTTACAGTTACTGGATCAGGGTTTTTTATTTGCATAAAAAAATTAATTTTTTCCCCTGATATGAAAAACAACATAATACAACTGTAATTACTGATTGCCATGGTAACAACTGGGCTGATAATGTCTGGGTAGATCCACTTCTTCATGACAAGTGCCTCATGAATTAATTTAATGGGTGAAGTAGGTATATAATAATTAATTTCAACCCTGGGCTCATAGGGTACACACTGAAAAAGGATTACTGAAAGTGCACTTGAATCACTTAGAAATGCTTTAAATTATGGTAAAATTAATTCTATATATCCCACCTGTGAAAAATTCCTCCTGAGCTTGTAGAAGGGACAGCCTCTTCTTGACCTGCATTTTGAGATAGATCCTGTGGAAAGACAGTTGTTCTGTAGATGAAGTTATCAACAATAAGAAAATTGCCTAATCAATTGCACATGCAACCATGGAAACAAATTTAAAGCCTGATTTTGCTTCTTAGCAAATAGGTCATTGGAATATTGATTCAAGTTAGCAGTCACAAGATGAGGTGAGACTGGGAAACTATGGCCTTTGATGATAAAAGATATGTTTGTAGGGATGCTGAAATCATGTGGTAATTTTCTTACTTGTTCATTTTACACTTTCATCAGATAAGCCTTGAATACATATAGATGGAATGAAAATGTTATTTGATTGATTGCCTGAAAATATTTCCAATGGAAAATCACATTAGTGAACAAAAGCTCGATTTACTATCATCAATCACTCTATATCTTTCTTACCTTACATGAAACTGATCTTGCTCCCTCAGAAACAAAATTTCCAATTTCTTAGCTAAGTTCCAATCTAGCAACTATCAATTTGGAACTCCCAGACATATATAGCTTAGTTTTCTCTTTAACTTGTTTTTATTTTTTATTCCTTCATTTGTATGGGAAGTTTAAAATGAAACTCATGTTGAACTTTTGATAATTCTAATACTTTTTTCAAGTATTCAATCTGTTACCAGAGAAACTGAGATCATCTGATGCTCCACATATCCAATATTTGAGGACATGTTCCAGAAATCTTCTAAGAAGACATTTTCATCATGTATAAGATAATTACTTCCCTGTCTCAGTTAAGAAAAACCTTGTTTGGGCCAAATGGTGGGGGTTGAGGAAAGAGAGGGGAAAAAAGAAGGTTTTTCTTAAATGAGACAGGGTTAGTAACCAAAAATAGCATGAAGCATGAGCAGTGTGACCTTCATACATTATTCCAATATCAGACATAAGAAAAGAGGTATTCAAGATTACAATTTTCCACAAAAAGAACCTGGCTCCTAGAGTATGAACCACTCCCCAGATAGCACAACATTTCTTCAAACAAAAAGACTCACCTGTGTTTGGTGCGCATCCAAATCCAGGAATCTTACCGACCCCCCAGTGACAGATGTGGACATCAGAGCTGACCGGGCATCGCGAGTCAAGCGTCGGGATGCAGTCGGTGGGAGGAAGAGACCGGGTCGAGAATCCTCTCTCTTCAGAGGGGCAAACAAACATGAGGATGCTGCTGGAGGCTGTGGAAGAGCTGGGGATGCAAACACAGCTGCAGGCTTAGTTTGCAGCTCAGCTGGTCTTCCCAGTGTATAATTGATGAGACTTCCCCTCTGAGGAGGTACAACTCTTTTTGGTGGAACAGAGTACTTGGGGTATGACAGGTTATGCACCCTCTGAAGCAGATCACTTGAGCCAGGACCTGGACTGGCAGCAATTCCTTTCCATGGGGATTTCATGCACCTTGATTGAAGATCACTCTGTGCAAATGCCATGCTGGGGGCAGCAAAGCTTTTTTTGCCTGCATTTTCTGCATTCCCTGTCTGATTGTCATACTCCATCTTCACATCCTGTTCAGCTAATACTGTTTCCCCTTTTTCATTTGATAAATGCAGATCATGAGATTTTACCTTTCCAGCATCTATGGCATTGTCAAGTGAAGTGTTTTGAAGGCTCTCACTTGCCTTTGCAGGTTTTATTTTGCCATTGCAGAGTTGCAAATAGGTGTGCTGGAGTTGACAATCAAATGTATCAGGTCCTTTCTGTATGGCCTGCAGCAACGTGGTCATGACCTTCATCAGCATGTCCTTTCGCTCTTCATCCGACAGCTTGGGTTCACTGGACTCCTTGGCTTCATACAGCCGCTGCAGTCGTGTCCCCAGTGGTTCCTTTGGCGGACTCGTTTTGATTTCATGTACTGCACCTTGAGCAGGAGTACCAGGATTCACAAAAGCAACTGGAGAGTGTTCCACTGCAGCCTCTGAGACAATGCCTGCTTCTAAATCATCCACATGAGCCTCTCTAGGTATATCCATTTGTCCAAAATCACTTGCTTCAGGTTCTTCAGAAAGGTCTATCAGCTCAGGTTGACATTTGACGTCAGAGTCTGCTTCCAAGCCTCTCATGGGCAGAACCTGTGCTCTGATGGCAGCAGTGGTACATGGCATGACCTGTCCTACTTTATGTACAGTCTCAGTTGGGGTGTAAGACACAGTATTGTTGGAAGCGATCATTGGCGGAGGGGACACAAGTGGTCCCATGGATACATTCATATCACATGGAACATTGCGAGCTGCATTTGATGCAACAGGGCATCTAGGGGTGTTCTGGAGAGACATGGGAACCAGAGATGCACCTGAAGTATTCTCAAGTGGATTTACTACATTTGATCCTTTTTGAACATTCTGGCGGGAAGAGTGGAGCAATGCACCAGATTTATGTGAAGCATCATGAAGTGACATGGATAAATTCAGTTTACAAGGGAGCTCATTTCCCCATTGATCAAAAAGAACACTCAGAGGTGCCTCTCGGGATGAATCACAGTTCTCAGAGGGAGAATCAGTCTGATTGTTCAATGCTGTTTGGCCATCATGCATCAGGACTGAATATGTCTCACTGGAAGCATTTGGCTCTTTCAGCAAAGTAAGTTTTTCTTCAGCATCATCCTGCTGAGGAGGCACCAATGCAGCTGGCCTTGGTGATTCTGCTGCATTACCACATTGCAAGCAATTCTGACAAACACAAGAGGCATCTCTCTGATTTGTGATGTAATCAGAAATCTTAGCTTGCTTCAATGTGGGCACTTCGGAGTGCTCTGCTTCTTGGATTATGCGTTTAGAGGCCACAGTCTGCTCAACAGCCTGGGAACTAGTCTTTGAAGTTAGATTCTCTTGCCGGGCTGGAGTCACAATGGCCATCTTCCTTGATGGACACTTAGCATTGCTAGGTTTTCCTTTTTCATTTTTGAGATTGCTTGCCAAAAATGTGAAAATTGGGCACAACAAGGAGGAGGAAGCCTCTGTATTCTGTGCTTTCTGTTCAGCTGGAGGAGCTTCAGACATCTGAATTTCCCCATCAACATCTGCATAGGCCAAGATGCCCTCAAGCTCATTGCAAGACATTGGATGGCGTGACTTCGACAATTCCAATGAGGGATTTGGGAGCAGAGGCTTATCAGAACCAGATACCTCCTCCCTAGAATCACCATGATTGAGCAATTCCTCTCTAGGAAAATTCAAATCAGGCAGCTCCTCTATCTCTTCCTCGGGCATCACACCTGGCATTGTTGGGGAGTCTTGACTCTCTATCCAGGCATCATAGTCCCCATCCTCCCTGAGAAAATTGAGGATTAAAAGAGGGAAATACTTTGGAAAGCGCTTAAATAAGAAATGCTGAAAACTCTTGGAAAATACTTTGGCAAATGAAATTTCAAAACATCGCCAATCTCATTATTCAACTGGAAAATGATCAGAATTAGAGAGAAATTAAAGAGCTGGCTTAACCTCAACCTCAGTGGAGACATAAAAATTCCAAAATATGATGCTGGAAGAGCTACAAAAAGTCCATAATGAGGACCACTTTCCATCCCACATAGTATAATGTTGACAACTTCCAGGATTTTGCCCAAGGGCAACATAGATTACGCATGAAAATATGCAGAATACTGTCAGCTCTTTCTTCAACCATGCTCATATTTGATTAGGAAGTGTATGATAGTAAAGTATATTTCTAAGTGCTTGGTAACATCTTAATTTGTAGTAATAAGGTGACCAACCATCCAGGATTTTGTGAAACAGTCCTGTATTTTGATTGTCCATCCCACATCCAATCATATTAAAACATCAATGTAATATATCTTTTTTCGATTCCAAAAACATCTTTGAAGCTATAAATGCAAAGTGTTTCTTGAATCTGGGTCAAGGAAATTTGGAACATCCAAATTCATACAATCAATACCACTCCCCCCCCTGCGCTTGTCAAATTAATGCGTCCTGCAGTCCAGTTTCTCCATCTTCATCACCCCATGTAGGAGGATTGCATGCCAGTTTCAATGCCCTGCATGTCTTAGCTTAAGAGGCATACAAAAGAGCAAATCCTATCTCTGAGCCCTTGGAAGTAGGACATTATATTGTATTTCTTTTTATTTGGATGCCATAAATTTCTGTAGCTATGTACATCTTCATATACTGGTTTGCTGGAAGAGTGACTCAAATTTTTGCATATGACAGACCTAGATTGATAGATTTCACTTAAAAAGTGCCAATTCCTCCCATCCAATGTCATGAGATGTAGATTTCCAGATGAACGGTGCAACTGAAAGAGCTTCACAAAAGTCCCCGTTCACCAATGTGATTGTCAGGAAAAAATTGCTGATGGACCAACAGTGCAAGAGTACTTATCCTTTAGGAAGGAAAATGGAGAAGGTAAAAAAGTAATATTATGATTCTCCTTATTCAGAGTATAAAATGACACTTGTCATAGCAATCAAGACTGAAAATCTGATTAAGTAATCTAGTATGTGAACACTCAGTTCACAAAGCCACCAACTGCATGTCTATCAAGATGTGATATGCACTAGGAAAGAAACATGGATAAGTGAGAAAAGGATTATTAAGGTAGGAAGCTCACACGAGGGAGAAGGAGGGGCGGGTCATGGAGATTGGGAGTTGATGTTGCTGATTGGCACAAGAGGGCAGGATTGAGGCAGGGGACTTTGGTTGCTGGCCAGTAGTGCCAGGTAGGGTCATGGACATGGGTGACTTGGGTGGGTGGTTCGCATTGTTTGGCAGGATCGAGCAGGCAAGGAGCTTAGGTTGACAGCTTGCTTCCCTGCGGAAGCTACTCAAATCTATCCCTGATGCCCCACCTTTCCTCCCCTATAGGCATCCAGTCATATCACATACATTGTGCTTTTTTTTTTTCAGTACTCAATAGGAAGCATTCACAAATATGGGAGTCTAACTGCAAAAGAATAAAGTTGTTATCCTTGAACCTTCCAAGAAACCTAGTACTGCATCATTACTAAAAGATATATAACGATATGCAAAGCAAACAAAAACAAATGCTCTCAAGTGCTAACCATATAAGTTACTCCATTATCACCTTAAAACATCCTACTAATTACTGTTTTTGTAGCTGGTCTCTTTTCTGGTTTCTCTCAGGCATTGACAGTTTTCTCATCCTCCTGAGCATGGAAATTCAACAATACAAAGCCAAATCTTCCCAATGCATTAGGCAATAGTATAATTGACTACAGTAGCATGCCCAGAAAATCCAAATGGGTGGGTGGGATTGACTTGCCAAATGAAAAAATTGTTTGACAATCAAACCTCTAAAATATATCCCACAGGGTGGTTATGACCACCATAATCCCCCCTTGGGCCCACCACTGATAAGCCAGAGCAATCAAGAACTTCATGTCCACCATAATTTATAAACAACATTAATAATCAGTTTTCCAAATTAATTGTGCAACCTCTCTTCCCCGTTCTTAGAGAACTCACGGCTCACCTGGATTCGAATTGAAGGATGAATTGGGGTCCCCTGCGTATGGTTGAGGATGTCTCGCATTGCCTTCTTGGGACGAGGGATCCTTGGACTAGGACTTGGACCCGGGCCTTGAACTTCACCCACCTTTGGAGAGATCCTCTTGAATTTCCCCTGTACATCCAAAGTTACACATTGGCCAAATAAGAGCACAAGCAGAATGCCTGTTTACAGTAATGAAGTGATGGCTGCCATGAACAGTCTCAATCTGATTTGATTGATACTTATATTCTGCATGAAAACACAATAACCTCAAGTCATTACCTTCTTGCCAGAATTAGTAAACAGAAGTAAAATTCAGTTAAACCCATTCGGTACATGGTGTCCAAGGAACACTCACCACCCCAGGAGTGAGGGCATTCCTCTTGTCTTTGTTCTTCCAACCTTCAGGCTCATCTACGTTCTCTGCAACCCACAAAAAAGTCACCAAAATGCATCATTAAGTATGAGGAAAGGAATGACTTACAAGAACTTGGTTTCTTATAAACTAAGTTCAATTTCGTTTAGGAATCTCAAGAGGCATTTCTGCCCATTGTGACATCCCATGTCAAAGTTAAGAATTTATATAAATTGAGACAAACCTACCATGCTTAAATATAAATATTAGAGATGCGACGATATTTTATCGGTTATCGGTATCGGCCGATATTACGTGAAGCCGATATATCGGCCTAAAACGATATATGACCTGCCGATAACCGATATTGAAATTACACCTGAAGTATGCCAAACGCTAAGTATGTAAAGCGAATTATGAATATTC